GTGGGGTTTAGACACAGCATTGATATAAAGTCATAAAAAAGAGGGTATCACTGAGACATGTGGTGTTCATCATTGAGGGGAAAAAAAAAGGCTAATGATAACAGACCAGCCGAGAAACTGAAGGGAAGCAGACTTCTAGCCATTCAAGTGTCAATCTTACAGGAAGGGCAGAAATTATACATTTTCATCCTTCCCAGGGCACCAAAACAGAAGTGCTTCACTCTCTGGATCATTCCGTCCCTTTTCTCTTAGCTTATCCCATCACCACAGCAATGAGGCAAGAACCATGTTTTCGTGTGTCTGGACTAGACTAGCATCCTTGTCAGTTACTTCAAAAAAGCACATGACGGGGCACCTGGGTGGCTCAGTGGGTTAAGCCTCTGCCTTCAGCTCGGGTCATGGTCTCAGGGTCCTGGGATGGAGCCCCGCATCGGGCTCTCTGCTTAGCGGGGAGCCTGCTTCCTCCTCTCTCTCTGCCTGCCTCTCTGCCTGCCTGTGATCTCTGTCTGTCCAATAAATAAATAAAATCTTTAAAAAAAATGCACATGACAGCGTCTGTATGCGATTTCTCGGGAAATTTCTTATCTAACAGGGCACTCGATGGGATAAGCAGAGCGTTAGGAGGAAGAACCTCCGGATTTCACCCTCGTTCCGCCGTCTCAGAAAAATGTGAGATTCCAGTTTCTGCTCACAAAATGGTGCCAGAAAGGCCCATCACTTGCTTAATAATGAAAACATCAGACGGAGTAGCTTGTGATGGCCAGTCATTTTGCTTAAGTAATTAATCAACTACTTATTTGGTTATTTATAACTGCTCATTGCTTACTCTGTATCAGTGCACACTTTCTTTCGTAGGAACCAACCAGGGTTTTATGCAGGGTGCCGTGCATGGACCCGAGGCTACATTCCCCAGTTCCCCTTGAACGCACACATAGCTGATGAGAGGTGTGTGGAGAGGCTGCGTGTCTCCTGGGGAAGCTCTTCAAGGTGACTGACTCAAGTGAGCAGTGTCACCCCCACTCCCACCCCCACCTGCCTTGTGGTTGGAGCTCCAGTGACCACCGTGGACCGTAAAACGAAAGAATGAAAGTCATGTGCTAAGGCTGATGGAGCGAAAGATAGAAGAACCCGGTTCTCTACTGACCCCGTGATGCTGCTGTGACCTGGGCCGTCACGATTCCTTCATATGTAAGGTAAATAAACTTCTACTCTGCTTAGGCCAAACACAACTCCTAACTGACAGACCCACTGCCAACTTTATGAGTGGCCTCCTAGGCTCGCCCCAACATTCGCGGGCTCAGACCAAGAGCAGAGCTGGAGGCCCCTAGCCTGTGGCCTGCCCGTGTCTCTTTCCTCCCCCAGTTCTGCCCTTCTCTGTGGACAGCCGAGCTCACGCTTCTAAGCTCATTTTCAGGCCAACACTGCGTCTTGGCCGCTCTTCAGGACTGGGGTACACACACTTCCCACCAGGACAGCCCTGGAGAGGCTGGGGTAGGCTCTGGAAGTAGACTCACAGACACTTGGGCAGGGATTCCAGGTTCACGGACCCCAAGGCCTGGTCTACAAGTGGGAGAAGATTCCAAGTGGTAAGTGCCTTTGCCCTGTGATCTCCTTACCCCACGGAGAAAAGCACAGCCCTTGTAGGACAGCACTAGGGCAGGGCTTAGTCCCCAAGTCTAAATATGATACCATTAGCTTCTCTCCCTCTCACCCTTACTGTCTCCCTTGTTGTCATTCACACTTGACAGCACAGCAGAACTTGAAGTAGTCCTTGTTACAATAGCCTTGGTAAAACTATCTTTCAGAAGAAAAGCCTAGAACTATAGCTTGAAATGTGTTGTTTTCCAGTTATCTCTAATGCCCCTGTCTCCTCTCTTTTATTATACTGCATAATGTGTAATTTGATCAAGGCCGGATCTACACCATCATTAGTGCATCAGCTGCAAACCTGAGGCACGGGAACCGGAACAGGGCCTGGTACCCTCAGAGAACTACATGGGAGCAGGGGCAGATTCTGACAGGGGAGGAACTCTATAAGGCGTGCCACCAAAGTGGCCCAGGACTGCGCCTGTCACCCGGGCAGGCCCCACTCAGCTAAGGGTAGCAAGGACTGCGACCTCATGGGACAGAGCGGCCAACGACAGGGTCCACTCCTACCCCAACTCACACCCCAAGTTCAAGAACTCACTCTTTAAGGAATCTGTGGCCTCCAAGGCCTGACTGGCAGGGCCAGTAAAGCTGGTTTCGCGGACGTGAAAATGCCCAAACGGCGGCACCACGCGTATTCTGGAAGTTCTCTCCTTCCGGATCTCCCATCCCCGCAGCGACTTTAAGCCTCATCTCCGACTACGGATCTCTGTGTTCTCCAGGAGGATAATTACCAGGAACGGGAGGACTCACCCACCTTCAGAGATCCGCTGTGATCCTGCTCCAACAGCAAGGTATGGTCAAAAGAACACTGAGCGACGACTCGGAGATGCAGGTGGTCGCCACGAGTAAACGTGTCCTCCCAAAATTCGTCTGTGGACAACTAGTCCCCAAGGCGACGGTATTAGGAGGTGGGGCCTTCGGGAGGCATTAGGCCAGGAGGGTGGAGGCCGCACAAATGCGATTAGTGCCCCAACCAAGGAGACCTCAGAGAGGTCATTCCCCTTCTCTGCCCAGCACAGCAACAGCGAGAAGATGGCTGCCTACGAGCCGGGAAGAGAGCTCTCGCCAGACACAAATCTGTGGCACCTTGACCTTGGACTTCCCACCCTCCAAAACTGTGAGAAATAAATGTTTGTTGTCTATGCTACGTCGTCCATGGTATCTTCATTAGAGCAGCCCCAAAAGACCAAGACAGAGTTTCTATCTCCAACTTTCTACCTATATTTTGTTTATTCATTTTCCCATAGGAAAAATGGAAGGCACGAGCTAAATGGTTGTGTCATTTATGTATGACAGACATTTTAAATGTCCTTTCCCCCATCTTCACCTTCTTGTCATCTTTCAGATCTTGACTTAGAAGCGAGTTCCTTCCAGAGCCTTCCCTCACCCTCACCAACCTGCACTGTGTCCCCACGGTTCCCTGTGGTGACCTATTACAACACTACTCTCACTAGGGTATGACTTTTGTGAATTTATCTGTGGGTTCCCCGCCGGTCTGCAAATTGAGGGGGTACAGACACCAATATCTAAGGTTCTATCTTCAGCACCAATTCTTAGCAGATCAGTGACATATAGGAAATGATGATGTGCGTGGACAGTTTATGATAGCTACAACCCCTTTAGGTCACTGGGCTGGTGATGGAAGATGTTCTCAGTAACTATTCAGGGAACATGCTGGAACAGCCTTCGTTCTTCTGCCTGCATTTAGAAATAGTCTTTGGACATGTGTACCATGAGCATACACCTAATGAATCAGATTACCACATTTTTTTTAAGGAAAAAGATGGGAAAAAAAGTCTTCTATTTTTATGATGAGAAAAACTCAGACTATTATACTCTCATTAATAAAATGGAAGATCTTTTGTCTTCTCACATGAGCTCTTCAAATTAATCTAAGGCCTGATTGTCCCAAAGCATTACTAATTATATAGCAACATCATCTGTGTCACAGAATTGGAAATGACACACATATTCAGGTGCAGAGTGATGGTTAGACAAACTGTGGCACTAACTATTGAACTTACACAGCCTCCAACAACGGTGCCTCCAAGATAACCTGAAGTTAAAAGACAAGACAAAATAGCGTAGCAGTATGACTCTCATCATGTGAAGTATATCAACTGTATGGATAAAATACAGAGAGATGCATTACAGATCACTAGCAGTGGCTGTGTTTATGTGTTAGGACTGTGAATTACTTTCTACCTACTTTTCTGAATTTTGCAGATTTTCTTTAATGACTTAACAGTTTCAGTTCACGGTTAAAAAACCAAAATGAAAAAATCATTTAATTGTTAACTGAAAACACCTTGTTATTTTCTGCTATGAAACTGCTGGTGTGTCCTCCTGAAAGAGCTGTGTTGAGCCACTCAAAGACCCTTGGGAGAAAGCAACAGAGGCAGGGATGGAAACACCGAGGGAACGAGAGCACGGTTCTAAGCAATACTTCCTTTCCTGCAAGAACTGTTTGCGCCAGACAAAGGTGCAGCCTCCAGTTCTATTTCCAGAAGTTTCCATGGGTAAGTCCTCAAATGACTCCTGCGTGTCAGTGGAGATGGTCTGTGGTAACCACTTTTCACCATATTATCTCAAGGCTCTAACCAGAGTGCAATCCATAAACTGTCTCTCTTTGCACATAAATCCATTACTTTGGGGCAAAAAGCCCATTTATAAATGCTCTCATAGTGGTCCACTTTGCAAATCCCTACATGGACACAGTCTATGCAGCTTCCTCGCTAAAAGGTGAAAAACACCCGGTCTCTGGTCGCCAGCACAATTACAGGCCATCTTCCCCACGTGACGATTAAAATAGTTCTACCCTGCATCCTCTGACCGACCGGACGTGCGCAGCTGGTGCCGGCCACGCACACACGCATTCCAGGGCTCTGTTACGTGGGCACATTTTCTCTGTGTGGAATCCCGCCGACGGGGCATTTCAGGAGGCAGGGGAGCGAGCCGTCACTACGAGTCACTACAAGACTGGAGCCAGTCCAGTGCTGCTGGGGGTCGGGTGTTGCTAAAATAAAGCCAGTCCTCCCCGCCCCCCCCCCCCCACGGAAACATGGATGGGGGCCCGGGGAACACAAAAATGGAGTCCATGAGATCAGTCCTGCAGGACGGTCTGAGGGAAAGCACACTGGGCTTGAAGGAAATCCATTTCGATTTGAAATTAAAATGAAAAACAAATGTGTAAACAGGGAGGACTTAGTGAGCACAAGGAAATGAATAAACAGAGGTAAGTCCTAACTAGGGCAAGTGCTATGAGAATTATTTGGGGTTATTAATGCTCCTCACTGCGCTCTGGCTCTCGGTCCTGTCCCCCGACAGCTCTCCGGTGTCTGTTCACTTACTTTCTCTGGTATCGGACCACAGGATCCGCCAGCAGGTCAGTGAGGTCAAGCTTTCTCCCCTTCTCAATGACGTTCCGGTGTTTGCGCACAAACAGCCACCTGATGTGCGAGAAGCAGCAGCCCCGGTGGGCGTTGTGAGGGTCCACATCGGTCTCCGAGTACCTGTGGTGGACTCGGTGGTCCCTGGCCCACTCGAAGATGTCATTCTGCAGGGAGGACACAGACCCTGAGTGAAGAGACAACGCACCCTGGCACCTTCTTGAAACCTTCTGGAAAGCTTCTCAGCCTCCCCCTGGACCACATTCCCCCCCACCGTCAACACTGACTTCCACTTTGCTCCCACATTCAACCCGCAATGTCTTCACCTCAAGTTCAATCCCTGGGGTTGGTCGGGGGGGTTCCATGAAAACAAGAGGAAATCCTTCCTCAGTAGGTTCTGAGCTTGTGTCTGGGGCGCGCCCCTGCAGGAGGTCCAGGCTTGTCGAGTGAGTGAGAGGGGGAACCTGAAAGTTCTGGTGGAGGGGACAGAAGTCTCCTGGGAGATCATTCATGTCAGGAAAAGAGCGACCCAGTCTCAAGATGAAGTCTTGGTTGTCAGAGGAGAGGGGCCACCTCGAGTATGAAAGATGGCTGGTGCCTGGCCTGAGTCTCTCTGGCCTCGCTCTCATTCTTCCATCCAACTTAAGACAGCAGGAAGCCAGTTAAGTAAAAACTGAGAGAGTTACTTCACCAAATCTCTGCGAATACTAAGACACAAATAATACTGTTTGAGGACTGCTCTACCAGGGTGTCACAGGGAGGGAGGGGAAGTCACTGGCTCCCTGAGGAATCTGATAGACTTGGCCTGGCCCTAGAAGCAGGAATGCCTCACGGACACGCAGTGCTGACTGGAATCCCAAGACAGACTCCTGAACCCGAGGAAGGAGCAGCATTGTCCAGCGGATTCTGCCAAACCCAGAGACAGGGTGGGGCTCAGGTACACAGGGGGGACATGTCCTACTGACCCTCTCATGATGGGAGACAAAGGGAAGGTATCAAGGGACTGGAGGTCCTGGACAAGCCATCAAGGACAAGAACCAATGACATTTAGGCTGACAGCATTAACGAGACCGTATCTACAGTCATGGGCCAGTGAGATCTCTAGACTTTCAGTTTAGACTCGGTTTTGTTTTTCTCTGAGAATGCTTTCAAAACTTCAAGTGGGCCGCCTACACTGGGAAGTAGTGCTTTTGGTAGGAAAGTAGTCTGAAAACAGAAATAAGCCCTTTAAAAAAACGGAAAGAAAAGGTCACCGTGTTCAGGCCTCAGTCACGTTCTCACTAGCAACCAGCCCATTCACACATGCTGGCTTCATCCTGCGATGAGAAAGGGGAATGGTTTTATTCTCAAAATTCTAGCAGTTTCTTCAATCCAAAGGGGATTCATTGAGTTTATGGTTTCTTGGGCTCACCCAATGCTGCCAGAAGCCTCCCCAACCTTGTCTACCCAACACCACCACTGGAAGCTTCTCAAGTGGCTTCACTCTTGAGGAACAGGACAGAGAGGGGGGAGGTAGACAGGCCGCAAGAGTCACGAGCTCGACTTTGAATACAAAAAGAGAAGAGAGGTTCCTGGCCGTGCACGCAGGGAAGAACTACATCTGGGCTTGCTGGGATAAGAACGAGGTCTGTGGACTCCCGGAGCATTTAGACATGGTGGCCGGAAAGAGTGAAAGTGTTTATTCCACGGTCACAGAGTCTGGGGTCGGAAAGGAATGTCCGACGCTGGCGAAGACCCCCGCAGCCCAAGGAACGATTTATTCCTTTGCGTCCATGTCCTGGGACGCTCTTACAAACGCCTCGGTTCAGGGGGATGCTCTGCCCCCGGTCGCAGACGCGACCTGAAGGCTCAGCCAACGTGTCCTCGAGACTGTGGGTGTGTCAGGACAACAACGGCAGAGACTGCGGCCTCCCTCCGCTCTCGGCTCGGGCGCTGGGCGACGAGGTCCCTCCCTCCTCCTCCAGATCCCTAGGGAGCGCCTGTCACGGATGTGCTCCTGTCCCTCGCCAAAAGGTTGCCCCGGCCTTCGCCGCAGCGCAGTTCTCTGAAAACCCTGAGCAGAGGGTCCTGAGTGTCCCCCACAGTTTGGCCGAGGATGGCCACAGCGGCCAGGGGACGACGAGGACGGGTCGGAACGAGATGCTTGCTGTCACCTCTCTGCAGACGCCTTCCCCACCGGAGCCGCGGGTCTGCAGCGCTGGGACAACGCCGGGGCCTGGGCCACTTTCCGACCGGCGGAGCCCATGACCGAGCCCTGGACATTCCACGGGTTTTAGAATCTTCCGTTCCTGTTTGTGTTTTTACCGCGAAAGCCAAGTCCGAGGGAACGTGGCTCCAACGACGAGACAGAAGCCAACGACGGGGCAGAAGCTTCACGACCTGGTTGTGTCATTCTCGGGACCGACCCTTTGAAACCGCGCGTGTCTGCGACCCTACGGCCCTTGGTCCCCACGACCACGCGGCTCTCGGAGCCGCAGGGGGCAGCGGTGCAGCCTCAGGTGGTGGCCGGCGACTCCCACGGCAGCGCGGGCCCCACGGCTGGGCTGCTCACCCGCGTCGTGTTAGGCGATGTTTAAAGAACTTCAGTGTTAACAAAAATAAATAAAAACTCAGTTCCGCTCACGGTGAGAGAGTGACGCTGTCGCACAACGTGGAGGGCAATGGGCTACCCCTATGAAAGCGTTAAAACTGTGCCTGTCCTCAGCGCAGTGACCTGTTCTCTACGATTTGTCCAAAGAAAACCATCCCGGTTGTGTGCAGAGACTTAACCACCAAGACGCTCACTGCAGCGACACTGGAAAAACCCTGAATTTCCACATGACAGGATTCCACTGAGGACCTTGTGATGTGTTAACGGAATTCGGTTCGCACGCGTCACAGAAAGCTTCTGGAGAGAAATATCAGGAAAGAAGCCTTCGGGTTATCTCAGGGGAGTGAGACTGGGAGGGAGGAGATGAGGAGAACCACTTTTCCATTCTACCTCATACTCTGAAGTTTCGAACAAAAGCAGCTGCTGGGTTGACTTAAAAGCCAATTAACAAAAGGACATTGTACTATAGACATGAAGACATGAAAGGGAAAGCGATTAAATGAAAAGTAGTTTTCAAGAATGGTAAGTACAATTGCAACAAAAATGTGTGTGTGAGCACAGGACAAATGAAGGGAGTATGTAGGCCCACCTGTTTACAGTGGTTTTCCCTAGGAAGTGGGATGGTGGGTGATTTTTACGTTTTTTCCTTTTAAGAGCGCCTGGGTGGCTCAGATGGTGAAGCGTCTGCCTTCGGCTCAGGTCATGATTGCAGGGTCCTGGGATCGAGCCCCATGTCAGGCTCCCAGCTCAGCAGGAAGCCTGCTTCTCCCTCTGCCTCTGCCTCTCGCCCTTCTTGTGCTCACTCTGTCTCTGTCTCTCTCTCAAATAAATAATTTTTTAAAAAAATCTTTAAAATTGGGAGGAGTCAAGATGGCGGAGAAGTAGCAGGCTGAGACTACTTCAG